AGTGAGATGAGTGGTAGGGAGCAGCAAGCAGGCGGGCGGTAAGGAGTGAGGGGTCCTGGACTGTGAGAGGGATGTCCACCTGCCGGCTTAGGCCCACTCCCCACAGGCCAAAGCTGGCAGGTGGACATACCCTGAGGGGTCCCAGACTGCAAGAGGGCACAGGCCTGGCTGAAGGACCCCCCACCCCACACCTCCAGCGCATACATTTCATGCACTGGGCCTCTAGTATACTATATCTGCCAGGCACTGAGAATTTAGTTTAATAGCTATGGTTGTAGACACTTTGGTTTGTGCCAATCACATGAAATAAAGCACTTAATCTTCACAACAATCATCTGAGGTATGTTATTTCCATTTTACAAAAGGAAGATCAGCCCTAGCTTGTTTGGCTCAGTGGATAGAGTGCTGGCTTGGGAACTGAAGGGTCCCAAGTTCGATCCTGGTCAAGGGCACATGCCCAGGTTCCAGGCTTGATCCCCAGTGGGGGGCATGCAGGAGGCAACCAACCAATGATACTCTCATCATTGATGTTTCTCTCTTCCTCTCCCTTCCTCTCTGAAATCAATAAAATACATACACACACATAGAGATATAGATTTTTTTTTTTAAAGAAAGACCAGTTAATTTGCCTGAATCACATTTGGGTGCTTGAGTCCATATTTGAACTTTGTCACATCTGACTTGAAACCCACACAAGTACATGGGTACCCCAAGGCTCAGTCAAATGGAAGCTGGTCATTCCTGGGTAGGATTCTAAGTAGTGGGTGGATGTTTTCCCACTCATTTCAACATTCAGTACAATATTTCCCACAGGATCTCCAATTAGTCTCAAGCACCTGTCCTAGAGCTGAGAGGGGCCCAGGGATCTGGAAGTTTAACAGTCACTCCAGGTGATTTTTACTGGGCAAAGCTGGAAAACTCTGTTTAGGTTTTTTTGTGCAAGTGAAGGTTTGTTCTACAGTCCTCCTGAGTTGTGCTCCTGGCAGCTGCCATTTTGCAGGGATGGCGCAACCACCAAAGCCAGGGAAGAAGAATGCTTCTGTCCTAATTGTGGAGCTCTGTTGCTGAGTTCCCTAAAACATCTTCATTCCACCCCACCCCCATATTTCATGGAGCTTGGTGATGAGCTTTGGATCCTTTACTGCCCGTCACCGTCTGCCTCTCTGTAAGTATAAACTCAGGTGGACTGGGCCAAGAAATCAAATGGAATGTGAGAGGCTCCTCTGCACCAAGAGTTGCCCTATCCTAGGCTGCAGTGTGGGAAATGTCACACATAGAAGAATCGGAATGGCTTCCAGAAAAATCAACCCAAACAGGATGAAAAATGAAATGTACACAATGATTACAGCTCTGCTAAAATATATCTGTCAATGGACCCACACTGGAAATGAATAAGCAAAAATGACAAACTGTGTGATATGGTGGTAATACTGGGGATGAGTTTTCTTTTGTCCTCTATTTTCTAAGCTTTCCGTGATGTCATTATCCAGGGTGGGGCAAAAGCAGGTTTACAGTTGTGAGTATGAGAAGCACAGAATTTATTCTTGTATTATTATTTATTAATTATTGTATTATTTTCCGTCGGAACAACTGTAAGCCTATATAGACTTAGAAGTGAAATGTATATTGTTTCTTAGTGTAGAATACGCTTTTCTCTAAATATTTTTGTTATGTAAGTCATTTTACTTATATCGATTTTGTTGAAAAATTTTAGAAACTAACAATAACCATGTTGCTTAATATCACAAATGTTATAAATATACTCAATCTTGATTTCAACATCAGATCGCAGGTCATGGAGACTCCTGTCTGTAACTTTGATGTACAGGAAAGCAGAAAAGCATAGAGGCTAAAATGGACTTTGGAGTCAGGCAGACATGGGTTCAGAACTTTGTAGTCCTGATGTCAGCATTTTGTTCTCTTAAGGCAACAACTCTGTATGTTGTCAGGTACAGTGATTAGGGTTTTTCTATGTGCTTCCCATCAGAACCAATATAAATAAGGTGAATCTTTTATCTAGGCTATCCCTTTGATCCAATAATATCATCTCTGGGGATTTTTAAATATACCAAAGGAAGAAAAGGTTGTGTTGTATGCCTGAGTATGGGCCTGGTTTAATTTTAATAGTGTAAAAATGCTAGTGACCCAAATTAATAGAGGAATGATCATTGAAATTTTGTGTAATCTAGCTGAGATATTGTGCAACTATTTAAAATGATAATTTTTAAGACAATGCTACAACATGAGGAAATGCCTGCATTAGTCACTGCTGCAAAAGAAACAAACTTGAAATCTCAGTCATACAATAATAAGCACTTATTTATCACTTACACATTGCCAATCAGTTGGGATTTGGCTATCTCGTTGGGATCAGTCAAACTTGGCTCCATGTCGTGAGTTGAGTTCAAGACTGCTTCACATCTCTCATTCCTCAGTGACTGATGGGCTGCCCAAGGCATAGTCTTCACAGGAGCAGAAGCCCAGGAGAACAGATGTAATACTGAAATGCGTAAAGCCTCTGCACTAACATTTCATTGGCCAAATAAAGTGACACGGCCAAGCCCACATCAAGGGGGTGGGAAAATATACTCCAGCTCTAATGTTAGGAACTATAAAGGGTATAGGTATAGGGAGAGGGAGAAGTATTGGGAACAATAGTACAGACTAGAACAAAAAGGTTATATGGAAAAACAGGTGCACAGGATATAAAGTTGATTGTACAACTTGATCATAACTATGTAAAAATATTTTTGCATATCAACAAAGAATAGAAATAAGCAAAAATGAAAAAAAAACTGTGTCTGGGTAACAAGATAATAAGAACTTTTTATTTTGCCTTTCTCCATTTCTCAAATTTAACACAATAGAAGTATACTACTCTTCTTTTTATTTTTTAAATTTGTTTATTTATATTATAACTGATGTTAGAGAGAGGAAGGGAGAGAAAGAGAAAGGGAGAAACATCTATTTGTTGTTCCACTTATTTATGCATTCATTGATTACATCTTGTATGGGCCCTGACCAAGGATTGAACATGCAACCTTGGTTTACTGTGATGATACTCTAACCAACTGAGCTACCAGGCCAGGGATACCCTTCTTTTTAAAAGTAAGTTTTAGAACTTCTTATAGCAGGCAAATTAGTTCATCAAACTAACTGTTTTATCTGTTATATTAAAGGTCTATAGAAAAATTTAGAATTCTAAGAACAAGCAAGGTAGTCAATTATTCTTAGTCCCCACCAATTGCTAATCTCAAACTCAAACCTAATGAACTCCCATCAACATGGATCTTTAACTTTGCCTGTTGCCTAAAAAAAAACAGCTTAAATTCCATTATCCTCTTATTCTTCATTATTGCAGTGCTGATGATTCTCCACATTGATCTCTTTGAAGTCTCCAAAATTAGATATTCATTTCACTAAATATAAACATTATCCCTAGTAGATTCTGATCCTCTGAAAGTAGCAAATCCATTCAACAAATAATTATGAGCACCTTCCATGTTTGAGGTACTACACTAGTTGCTTTTGGGGAAATAAAGATGTGTAAATGACCATCCTTACCCTCAAGGATCTCACAATCTAATGGGAAGAGAAGTTTGAGGACTGAAAGAACAGACTAGTAGATGGGTCCTGTGTTCTAAACCCTGGTGGCAAACTAGAATTATCTGGACAACTTTTAATAAATACCAATGTCCAAGCCCATGCCCAGGCATTCTGATTTAATTGGTCTGGCGTCTGGCTGGATCACTGGTATTTTTAAAGCTCCTCGGGTCATCATAATGAGTATCCAGGGTTGAGAATCACTGGGTTAGGCCTCTACTTTAAACCTGACTGAGCTGTTTGAGTGCACTAAGAACTGATAAGGACTCTCAAATTAAAACAATTATTTTAAAAATAAATTATTTTATTAAAAATTACATAATGCATGCATATAGTTTAAAAAGTTAAATGGTCATGAGGTTTATGATTAAAATACTGTATAGCAGTTCCCTGTTCTCTTCACTCCCGCAATCCCCCTCTACTTTTGATGCTTTAAATTATTTTTAGAGAATTCACACTTCTTCCATTATCCAAATGTTAACACACTGGTATCTTTTGCACCATCAAAAACGAATTACTTGCTGAACTTCATTTTATCCCACCTAAAAGTACCTGAGGCCCCTAAGGAAAGATATAAGGAATAACATCAAGTAATTGGTGCAGCAAGGAGGTAAGAGAAAGGTTCTCTGGACAGGACAATTCACACTGGTCCATCTGGTGGTCTGAGCAGTTCAGAAAGGCAGCTAAGAGCACTTTGCAAGCCCTGCCTGCTCTCCTACCTCGTGGAAAGGGATGGGCTCTATCTGAAATTATGGCCAAAAGAATATTCCCATACTTTCTCCTGCATCGAGGCCTCACCAGCATTAATAAAGTTGTCCTAACCTTTCTACAGAAAGAGGAATAATTCCAAAGCAACTTAAAAAACCTTACAGACAGGAAAACAAAATTGCATTGAAGAGCAATTATTGGCTTAGTTATTTTGGGAACTGACTAGACAAAGGGACCTCTGATTTTATTTCTAATATGTTGCACATATATTGGCAAGAAGATGTGCTAGGAAGGTATTATATAGACTCTGCTATGCCAACAACTACTTCTTTGGTATAGTTTAGAATGAGTTGGGTGTTATCCTTGAAACACATTTTTTTAAGCCATAGAAAGGCTGTGAAAGAAAAGACCAAGTTTAATTGAACAAGGACTTGATTGGCAAGTAAGAATTTCAACAGATAGAGGGAGCAGAAAAGGGTTTGAAGGCTGAGAAAATGGCACTGGCACAGCCAGGAGCAAGAATGTATAGGCACCATAGGTGGTAGAATTGCCATCCAGGCTCCCCGTGAACTCTTAGAGTTGAATTATAAAATTAACACCAAATCATAATGGAAGAGTTGAGGAATGTGCAAAGACCCCTGATAGACAGACTACTTCTCAGGCCAACAGCAGGGTAGAAGCAGTTTCTAGTCTAGATGAAAGTATTATCAGGTAGAAAATGAATGTGAGTAAAGTACTGTTATGTGTTGAGAGGAGTGAGGAGAAGGTTGGTGGTTTACCTTAGAAACTCAGAAAGAAAAAATCGTTTAAGGCAAAGAATATGGAACAACTAGTCACTCTTAGTATTCTAAATTTGCTTTTTTTTTTTTGTAAATATGACCTTGTGATGGAAATATCCCTATTTTAGAGGTGTTTGCAATAGTCTATCATAGCTTTAAGCCATACATTTGATCATATTACCAGCTCCCCTTGCTGTAAAGCTATGCTTATGTAATTTGGCCTCCTATGTTACTACTGCATGTGCTGATGATTAGCAAGAGCATCTGGCCCATTTATTTCTATAATCCTCATTGTAAATTGACAGAGTCGCGCTGTCAGTTATGCCTTGGTCTTTTGTGAGCTTGATTAACACAAAGCCATCCCCAAGAAACTGATCCAAACTTGGTGCAAAGAGGAAATCAAGTTCTGACCCTATGAGGCTTGGGACCCACAGCCAGTATGAGGTGCCAACCAAGGTACTACCCTGAGAGACCCAGTCAAAGTAAGTAGCCTGGAGGCCACCCTACCTCCCATCCCCAAAATAGGTCAGCAAGGCTGGGTGCATTAGAAACACTGGAAGATGGAGGCATAATAAAGACTGTTTAAAGAGAGTAAACCAGGGTATATCATGGACAGCCTTGAAAAATGGCTTGGTTTAAACATTGCAGGGACTCACTGAAGATACATTAGCAGGGAATGTCATAAAAATCAGTTCTCTGTTTGAGGAGAGCATCTCTGGTTGACAGGATGAAAGCTGGATTGGACAAGGTAAAACCAGAGGCAGGGGACCAATTATAAGTCTGTTGTAATTGTACATTGAGGAGGTAAAGTAGACTGGGAAAAGGACTGTGACACTGCAAATGCGGTGGCAGGGTCAGTCCCAAGAGACGTTTCTGTGGCTCTCTGCCATACTGATTGTGCCTTGAGCTCCTCATTTGTAGTATGTGAAAAGGAGTACCTGCCACCTGCCTGGGAGAAGGGACTCTGCTCCTTATGGCTTCCTGTATTGTTTGAAATAATTTTCAGAAAGCTGTTCTCTTTTCATAAAGCAGGTAGAGGTGTTTAATGGCTCTTGAGGCAAAGGAGAGCTTATGAGTTTCCTCTGAAGGACTGCATTCTGGACTAAGCCCAAACACAATATTCCTCTCTAGGCCTGAAAACTGCTGAATGCTGTCTAAAATGATGTGACTGCCCCAAACACCAGAGGCCTGGCTGAACACAACTTCTGCTGCTCTGTGGGTCTCAATTAATTCCATTGCTTTTAGCAGTGCGAGCTCATAGCGTCCTCTGTCCTCCCCTCTCCTGCACAGAATGGCTATATCTTTGGGCAGATAGCCACATTGGAACAGGTTGTGACATCTTTCTGCCACGTACTTTGCCATTTGTTCTATTGTCAGGTTGGTCTCTGTTTCACACACCCCAGGAAGAGCCTGGGCACGCATTGCTTCCTCGTAGGTAGCTTCCCTGAACAGTGCCAGTGTGTCCAGAAACATGTCGGAGGGAGGACTTTCTTTGATCTTCTTCATTTCTTGTTTCATGACCATTGCTATTTCCAGAGAACAGTGGATCCCTTTGGTGATTGTTTTCCGAGGAAACTGAGCAGATGGAGGGGGAAGGCCGTTGACATCAGCATGATGGACTTGGAAGGGGTCCAGGAAAAGCCAGAGAACCCCGTGGTGAAGGTTTTTCCTTCCAGCTCCCCTCACCTCTGGATGGGTGATACTCTTAGCCTTCTTGTACCAATCACCATATACACTGCAGAAATTCTCCGTCTCATCCATCACTATGTGTTTTATCTTTTGGAACTCCCCTTGCATGAAGGTTTTCCGCGTCACAACCTGGCAGGTGGTTTGTTGGCTGTAAGGATGAAAGAGAGAATTGGGTTTCAGGGAACACCATGCACTCATTACTCTCGGGATTGAAATTAGAGACTAGTTCTCACCTGGAGGACGATTCATTGATCCAGTTGTGTACGGAATACTACAAAACGGCTCTACTTATAAGTTACCTGATAGAGAGAACACTTCATTGTAAACCCTACTCTTCAGGGCTATCTAGTTAAATATGCATGTGAAACTTTTGAAATAAACCCAGGTAGGAACGTTATTGTTTCTATTAGTAGTCCGTTTCTGCTGCTTGACAATCCCTGAAGACAAGCTCTTTACTTTGTCCTTTTTCGAGCTAGAGAACAGTTATCTAGAGGCATATCATATTTTTTTATGTGGAAAAGAGGTATGGGTAAATACAAATTCCTCTAAAGCAAATCCCACCACCCCTTCTACATGCAGTATAAAACCAGAAGCCTCATTCGATTTTGGTAAGGAAAACATGAAGAGGCTGCTGAGTTCCATGACATGTCAAGTAGGGTAATAAATCTACAGGGCTGTAATCCTGTTTAAGGTGTTCAGTTTTCCTGTATAGTATGTTGTAGCATATCAGAGGAGGAGGAACACCTTAGAGGAGGCAAGAAACAATCAAGTTGGATTGTTACCTCCTCTAATTTGGATTCAGGTAATATCACTCGACCCTATAGATTTCCTGATGTTACATATGCAGTCCCTGGGGCTTTACTCCCTGTGCCCTGAATCAAAACTGTTCATGTTCTTCTCTTCCAGTTTGGACTGTGTAGATACCTTGAAGAAAAGCACTGATTCTTAGCCACTCTCTGTATCCCCCTCACATTAGAGTTCAATAGATACTTGTTGAATTGAATTTGCCTTTGACTGGAGCATTTTTAAACTTACCTATAAAGCATAATAAAGAACTTAACCCATAGCACAATTTACAAATCTTTCACAATATGGCATCTGCCTCCTTTCCAATTTCATCACCTACTATATAACCATAACCCCCACCCCCACACTGCTCTAGTCAGACTTACCCTTCTGATTCTCTAAGCATCTCCATGCCTTCGCACACACTCTGCCCTTTGCCTAAAAAGCCCTCATTTTATTCACTTTGCCTACTAACGTCTTCTTTTTTTTTACAGAGAT